TGATATTTTTTCTTAAAGATCCACTTACAACCAATGTGTTTTGCTCCTTTAGGCAAATCTACTAAAGTCCAAGTATTGTTTTTCTGAATTGATTCAATTTCAATCCTAATGGCCTTATCCCACTGTTTTGCATCAGGAGCACTAATAGCTTCTATAAAGTTTATTGGATCATTATCAACAAGATAAGTATAAAAGTCATCTCCAAAGGAAGTTTCCTTTCTCTGTCTTTTGCTTCTTCTCAAATCCTCATTTATGGTATTACTATTATCATTATCATCAACAGGTTGAGACATCTCACTAACCTTTAAGGGAAACACATGTTCAAAAAACTCGGCATTTTTAGTCTCCATTATAGAATTTCTCTCAAGTATGTTACTTTTAACAACTAGAAATCTATAGGCAGCATTATGTTCAGCATAACCTAAGAACATACAATCAGAGGTTTTAGATTCTATTTTCCTTTTCTTAAGATCAGGTAACATCACCTTAGCTAAGCACCCCTACACTCTTAAATATTTAAGGTTAGGTTGGTAACTTTTCCACAACTCATAAGGAGTTTTACCGGTTTTCTTATGGGATATTCTATTTTGTAAAAAACATGCAGTAAGCAAGGCTTCTCCCCAAAGGTTATCAGGTGCACCAGAACTAACAAGCATAACATTCATCATTTCCTTAAGGGTTCTATTTTTCCTCTCAGCTACTCCATTAGACTCAAGTGAATATGGTGGGGTCACTTCATGGATAATTCCTTGTTTAACACAAAATTCATTAAACAATACATACTCACCACCTCTATCTGATCTAATCCTCTTAGTTTTCTTATTCAACTGATTTTGTACTTCTGCCTTATAGGTTAAAAATACATCAAAGGTTTCACTTTTATGTTTGATTAAGTAAACTTTGGTGTATCTAGAATAATCATCTATAAAGGTCACAAAATAATTTTTACCTCCTTTAGACATGGTTTGTTTCATATCAGCTAGATCGGTATGAATTAACCCTAATAGCTCAGTTTGGCGTTCTACAGAAAAACATGTTTTCTTTGTTAGTTTAGATTCTACACATATATCACATTTACTACTCTGTTTATCATGCATATTAATCAATCATAGTCGTTGTAATTTCAAAACATACGAGGAATTCACATGTCCTAATCTAGCATGCCATATATCATACGAGTCAACAATATAAGCAGAGAAACTTGATTCATTAATATTTTCAGAAACATTTAGAATGAAGAGTCCTTGATCACAATATCCCTTCCCCACAAAACATTATTTTTTGTCATAATGATCTTGTCAGACTCAAATGATACTTTAACCCCCACCTTTTCCAATAGTGCTACAGAGATTAAATTAACTCTGATTGATGGCACATGTAGCACATCACTCAAGACCAGAGTCTTTCCAGATGTTTGAGAAGAACTTTTCCTTTTCCCAGAACAAGAGTGGTTCTGGAATCACCGAGGTAGACGTGTTCTTCTCCATCCCCTGCACTAGTGTAAGAGGTAAAGGCAGTTCTGTGTGCACAGATATGCCTGGTAGCACCAGAGTCTACCACCCACTTGCTCACATTGGTCATCAGGTTTACTTGAGAAACGACCGCAGCAAAAATGTCATCTCCTTCGACTATTTTTGTCCTAGGAGGATTGTCATTTCTTACTCTACGCCAGTTGGGTTTAGATTCATTGGGACGAGATTTAAGAAAATTATTTTTCTTTTTGTGATCAGGTTTGCGTACGTACCTTTTGGGAGCAGTAGCAACTCCATACATGACTGAAAGGGTGGACACGCGTTCTTGCCAACATCAGAAGTTCTGTCCAGAGAAAACCTCGATTTTTGACACGTTCGGAAGCGATTTTGCGAAGACCGTTTGGGTTTCGGAAGCAATGGTTTGGCTCTCTGAAGGCATGTTGTTGATGTCAGCCATAAGTCCTTAATATTGTTGTAAAAAGCTGACAAAATAGTATTTCCTGAGGCGTGTAGAGTCACTGTCCTTAAGGACTTATCCGCGGTGTGTTGCGCAAGACCCCCAAGATACAAGAGGAACTTCTCAGAATTTCTGAGGATCTCAGAACTAGCAAGGAACTCTAAATAGAGTATAAGAATAACCCAGAATATTTTTAGAAAAGGAAAGAGACAAAGGATGAAACTTAAAAGAGAAGAGAATGAGAGAAGAGAATGAGAGAAGATTGATTTTTTAGTGTGTATTGGAATGAGGAAAAAATTCTCTATTTATAGAGCTAAGGGAGAATAAAGTTAATAAAAGAAAATAAAAGTCAATAAAAGCAAAATAAAATTTGATCTTGCTCTTAAAATGTTACCATGGGCAATTAAAGAAAATATTAACGTTGCCCATTCCAAACGTTGCAATACAACGTTTTGCTTTTTCCCGTTGCCAATTAATATATATATACTGTTCCAAAACGTTTTCACTTTTGCAATAATAATAAAATATTATAACAAAAAGAAAGAGCGTAGAGCCCCGACCTGACGTGTAGTGTAGGTCAACAAGAATTTCACCATACCAAACCACTCATATCAACATATCACAGACTCTATTATCATATAATTAAAAATAGATTTTAGAAAATTATTTCATACAATTACCACATACAAATTCAAGTTATTCAACTATTAAAAATTTAGAAACAAGGTATTTAGCTTCCTTTACCTTCTAGATTACTAAATCGCTCTAAAAGACTTAAAATAGTACCAAACGCAAAAAGAAGCTCTATCTACTCCTATGAACAACAGAAATACGATCAGAATACATTGTTAGAACAACTTATCAACAGAGAGTCTTATAGAAGACTCAAACGTCATATGCATCACTAATAAACTCTCATGCAAAAGAAGACAAATAAACAAAAAAGATGAGAAAAAAACAAACTTACTTTATCTGAGAAATTGATCCGTTCAAATCGAAGAACTCGCTCCAATGATCAATCATATTATCTCTGTTATTTAATCAAACAAACAAAGGACAAGAAATCCTACAAAAATTAAAAAACTCTAGAAAAATAATTTCTAGAGATGACGTACTTTAAAATTATAAAACTGGTTTAAAATTATAAAACTAGTTTAAAATTACAAAAGTAGTTTATAACGTAACTATTTATATTAAAACTCTTTAATATTAAAATAATCAAATCTGACTATTTTAAATTAATATCACATTTAAAATATCATTTTCTAAATGTTTACATTATTCCTATTATAAAATATAAATAATCTTTATATACTATTACATACAAATATTATTGAAGTATATTAATAACAATTATACATAAAATAGTTAATAGGAACAAAAAATTATACAATAAAATACGTACCCGAATGACAGTATCATAGGAATTGGTATTTTCTTTATTTATTAGAATTGGTAATTTTACATAAATTAATAAAAAAATAAATATATTATATTAATTTACAATTTTTATATTTTAAAATATATTTTGTAATATTTTTTTATTTTATTAATTAATTTTTAAATAAACTATTTATTTTTTATCATCATAAAATAAATAACACACGTAGTATGTTTTCAATAGTATAAATAAAAAGCACACTCATATTTATGTTTTGGTTATGATTTATAAATTTATTTAAACCAAAATAATTACATATTTAAAATAAAAGTGTTGATACATCAGTCACTCAGATAAATATAATTTATTCAAACCAAAACAATGAAAGGAAAATAAGAAGCTGGAACTAAAATTCGCCAAACCTAAAAAGCTTTTCCCTCCTTTCTCTGAATTATGTTTTGTTTTCCCTCCAAAATAGAGTGACAACATTTCAGTAATTTCCTCTCAATCCTATTTTCTCTATCCCGCGTTTAGTTTGTGTTCAACCCTGGCTCATCCATACACTCAAATCAGGGATCCCTTCAGCACCGTTATCGTAGTTATCTCGTTGTGCGGTGGCTAACCAGAGACCAGAGGTTGGTAGACTATTTGCTTCTTCAGTATCTCTACAGAGTGTCACTGTTTGCTAATGATGACAAGTAGAATGATTTTTTTGTTTTCAGAGATTTGAGATTTAGTTGTTCGTGAATTAATGTTTTGTATTTGTAATACATGGTATGGCCTCTCATATTTTAATTGTACAGTTGAGGCTCTGCAGTCATTGTTGTACTCATGTAATGTTGATTCAATTGATCGATCATTTGTGTTTTTTATTTAATTGCTAAGACATGATTTATATATTGTGATGGTAATTATAAAAGTAACTCATGAATTTTAAACTTACCTTTCTATTCAATTTATCAAACTGATCCTAGAGTGAAATTTTTGTCCTTGGATTTTTGCCTTACTCATCTTTGGGAACTAATTCTAAAGAACTTGACTAGGATAAACTATCAAATCATCTTACTAATTATGTTTAGGTTTATGTTTAACTCATTCTTACAGAACTGCACTCGTGTATTATAATTTACCATCTTCTCATCATCTGATGCTTTTATTATTTTGAATTGCAACTGCTGTAATGATACTGAAATTATAATATGCATAAGCTATCAAACAGAGTAAGAAAAGCTGCACTAGATGTATAGAGTATTTGGCAAATGATATCATTTAGGTGGCTATTAATATTATATGAGACTTCTCTTGTATGTTGCACAATCATGTACAAAACATAATTTTTATGATTTTAAACAATTTGAATGATTATATATTTGACGTTTTAAACAAAAACAACTCTTAAATGAAATATGAGAACAAATAATTTTAATCCTTAAACTCAAAATAACAAAAGTTGAGATCAAAATCCAATAAAAAGAAAATCGTGTATCTTTCTTCTAGACTTGAGCATAATTCAGCAAACTGAAATAAACTACATTATATTATATTTAATAAAACTAGACTGATTATACTAAAAACTAATTAAATTATTTTATAGTTCAAGTTAAACAAATTGAATCTTAATAATTTTAGCACAGTTAACTGATTAATTGGTTAATTATGTTAACTGCGTGTCTTTCTCAATTAAATTCTTTTTTCTATCACCACCGTCACAGATGCCCTCTTCCTCTCCGCCGCTCATTCCTCCTGCCATCTTCCTCTATTAGCTCTCTGGGACTTCCTCATTGGCTCCTTTCAGATTTTCTTCTATCACCATTGTCACAGATTTTTTGCCGTCATCCAACGTCCGCTGCCCTCTTCCTACCTGCCGCCGTCCATCCCTCCTCCCATCTCCCTCGATTAGCCCTCTGGGGTTTCCTCATTGACTCATCGTTTGCATTGGGTTAGGTTTTCTCAAACTTATGATCTCTACTAGCAGATAATTTTCAATTGGCCAAACCTTTTTCTTTTCTATTATGACTTTTAAAGATTTCATTTTTTAAATGAACCAACCTCACTGTAGTGTCACTTGGTTTGAAATATTGAAGTCCCCTTTTTCTATAAAAATAGGATCTTCCATGTTTGAATCGAACCAACCTCACTACTATATAAATAGGATCTTCCATTTATTTGCATTACACTACTATAGCTATTCTTATTTTATAAGTATTGTTGCTCATAAATTTGATCCTTCTGTTTTTGATGCAAACTCTATTAACCGGTTACAGCTGGCTGAAATTATTAGGGGGCTTAGATTGGAGCTTTGTATTGTTCTATTATTTGTTTTCTTTCTCGCTCTGGTGAACTATCAAGGTTTGAAGTCCCTTTCTGTTGTTGTGTAAAGATTGCTGATTATTATAGTAGATTTTCTTTCTTAGAGGGTTTGGTATAAGCTAATTATTTTGACTTTTGCTTACATTGAAACCTAAGCATAAGATGTATTGAAATTCAGGATTCAGTAACTTTCAATTGTGGAATTTATCCTGAACATAGATAGAAGCAACTATAAATTTCAGTCCCTGTTGAGAAATCCAACAGTGGTTGTATAGTGCAGGCCTGTTGCATAGGTTTTGTTTTTCAAAGCAAAAGTTTATCACAGCTGCATACTCCATGCTGGTTTCACCTTCCTGTCCCTAACTCCTTTAACAGAATAAGGAGCAGGCAAATAAACATAGGAGAGAGGTGGGGTTCCAAGTAGGTGATTTAGTGTACCTTAAGTTGCAACCCTATTGTCTGAAATCGTTGGCTCACAGACCAAATGAGAAGCTCAGGCCCAAATTTTATTGTCCTTATACAGTCAAGGAACACATACGGGTTGTAGCTTATAAACTGGATCTCCCTGTGCACAGCAGAATTTACCCGGTCTTTCGTGTCTCCCTCTTCAAGTGTGCTGTTCAACCAACCACTCCAGTTCAACCCCTTCCACCTACACTTACGAAAGATTTGATGTTAGTGGTCTATCTAGTCTAGTGGTCTATCTAGTGGAGCTGCTCGACGTTTGCACTTCTCCAACGGGAGATTTGAAAGTTTTACTTAAATGGTAACATCTTCCATCCATTGAAAACAGTTGGAAAGATGCTACAACCATCAATACGGAATTTCCTACTTTTCACCTTGAGGACAAGGTGAAATTTCATGGAGGGGGTATTGATAGGTTTAGGGGGAAGGTTTATGTAAGAAGAAATAAGGGGGATAGACAGTTATAACTGTCTGGGGGTTAAGCTATTGTAAACAAACTATTATATATAGTTTGGACAGGGTTGTTTTCTTCAGTGTTTTCAGTGTTGTTTAGACAAAAGGGAAGTGAGAGACAGGTTATCTCAAAAGAACTGGTGTTGTGTGTGCTTGTTATACTTTCTGGGTAGACCAAACTGTCTGGTCTCTTTACAAGATCATCCCTTGGAATTCTTTGGGGACATAACAAAGTCCGGGTACCTATTACACACTTTTATACGTTCTTTTTGTTGGCTTGTTAATCCGATCTAGTCATCCACTTCTAATTCAATTGACACCAAACAATTAAAAATTATCAAATTTTCATTATGTAGTTGCAACAAAATAAAATAAGCTATTTAATTCTTTTGCAATTTCATATGCATTCTTCCCATTCATCCACGATTATATTCTCATACTTTTTGCCCATTTTAGTCATTCTCATATACAGTTATGGATATCATAACACAATGTATTATAATTTTGTTAGGTTCTCTTGATCTTGTTTTTGGTCCTGCTTTAAGACCTATGTGATAGTGTGTGAAAACATGATAGGAGGATGGACAAAAGAGGTTATTTGATTTAGTTTTAGTTGAGTTTTGTTCTAACTCTACTTTTACAATCTTAATCTAAGGTTGAGAATTGTATTCTTTGGCTTTGTTTTCCAAATTCAAGTTTTGTTTCTTAGCTTTCTAGTACAAGAGATGGAGAAAAAGAAGCAAAACACGAAAAAAGCTTGAATTTGGGAAACAAAACCAAAGAATGCAATTTTCACCCTTAGGTTAAGATTATAAAAAAGGAGTCAGATCATAACTCAACTTCGTAACACTGCCTCAAATTCTGTGGTAAAAAGACTTTGATAATGAGGTCAAGGGCGTGCATCAGTACTTAAAATTCTGCCCCATTTGTTCGTCTGTTTATTTTAAATCAATTTTGCAGTAGATAATGATATACTACTGAAGTTGTTGATTTTGCAGTACGCTGGATTGTTAACAGGGGTCTTTTGTCTGTAGATTTTCATCTGGATATAAGTAAAACAAATATATTAGATCCATTAGGTGGTGTTCAAATTGAAAGAGACAAGATGGCTGGCCAATCAAACCATGAGCTTTCACTGTTTTCAGCAGAGGAGGTATGCTATTTGTGCTGGAAAATCTTTTTTTAGTTTACATTGTTTAAAATCATAATATATATGATCATTTTGTCTGGCACTCAGCTTGAGTTCATTGCTGAGGATGAGATCGTGGACATTGTGCCCAATCTAAAAATGGGACCTCTCAATTTCATTTGTGTAAGCAAGAATTCAAACACCCAAAACTGGTTCTATTTTGCAGATCTATACACTTTACATTTCTTATTTATTAACAATGACAGGGAGATTTTGGCCCATTTACGCCTCAGATTGTTACTCAAGTACCGCTGTGGTTGGCCATTGCTCTCAAGAAGAGAGGCAAGTGCTCCATTCGGCCTCCCCAGTGGATGTCCGTAGGTGAGCTTCCTTTCTTTATTATTCCTCCTTCTCTCATCCCTAGACTCCTCCCAACAATCTAACAATAACAACGATAATGCATTAACTGTGAACATATTCATAGGTTAGAGGTGCTGTTGCGAAAGAAATTTGAAGAATGTTTTCCAAATGTGTTTTTGTTTCAAGTACTTCATGCTAGTTTTTTTTCTTTTTTTTTATGTTTCATTCTGTATTCATCAAAACGGAAAGTTTGTTTGTCATGCTATTTTGGGTCCTTTTAACTCTTGATATTCACTTTATGGTGTTAGAAATGTTATTTGATTATGATAAAGATATAACTGAACTTTTCTGGTGAGCTTTCTTTCTGGCTAGTGTTATTTTTTATTATGGATGATTTCTCGACAAGTACTGTTTGCTCACGCATTTCCTGCTGAGCTGAGTACTGTTTGCTATAGACATCTTTCTGGCTAATACTATCAACTAAGTTTTCAGTTGGTACTGTTCACCATGGATGTTTCTCTGGCCAGAATTGTTTAGAACCCACATTTTTCTAGTGAGTTTCTTTTGTAAGCCAGTGTTATTGTTTGCTAATGTTTTCGGATAAGTACTATCCACCACTGACGTTTTGTCTAAGTATTTTTTCTTTCGGTAAGCTATTTCTGGCCAACAACCACCACAGACTGAGTACATTTTCCTGATCCCTTCGTGACATGTGACCGTTTTTAACATGCTTGATTCATAATACATACCTTTCAGTTGGAGAAAGTGTTAAATTATCGTTTGAAAGACATGATTTGATTATATTAAATAGGATGTTATAGAAAAATATCTTACTAATTCATATGGTTAGATATTATTTTATGGCTTATTTTTTTTATCTCTCATTTATTATATATAATAATTCTCACGCATTATAAAATATTATACAACACACAAAATTCATTAATTTTTTTCTTGCTTTCTCTTCTATCTAAACATATCATCTTCCACCATTTGTTTTGTCACTAATTATTTCATCAATGTGAATGTGGTAGGTTTCTTGGCAGCAAGAAACCCAGGACACACTCATGTTAGCACACCAACACACACAACACTCAATCTCACAAGGGAACATACTGTATTATTATTCTTGTAAAAAAGAACAGCATCCAAGGGAGCAATTCTCGCCTCACACAGGATGTAATACTCCTGTCAAAGCAAAGATACAAAACAGAAGTGTCCTGCCTAAGTCACTCCTCCCCCCTTATATAGCCAAACCCTTACACAAAACACATAATAGCCAACCGCCTAACTGCCCTCCTAATCCTCCTAACAACTATGTCCTTATCTCAAACTCCTCAGGTGTCACCACTTTCTTGGTCAGTGTGGGGTCTCCTCTAATCAGCACCTCCCTTTCGCCCTAACCAAAACTCAGTTAAGTTTTTCCAGTTGATCTTAACTTCCCCTAGTAAGGCCAGCCATGTTACTCCCAGAATTAGATCCACACCTTCCAGCTCAAACAAGTGGAATCTCTTCTTCACCTCCAAACCTTCCATCAATAAAGGGATGTCGCGACAACATCTACTAGTTGTCTTCTTATGTCCATCACCCAAGCAGACTTTGTAGGGAGGGGTTTCCTCTACTACCAGGCCTAATTCGGCCACTAGTTTAGCCGAAATAAAATTGCGGTTGCCACTACTATCAATTAACACTAGTACTTGTTTCCCTTTCACCCATCCTTGTAATTTCATAGTATTGGATTGTGTCAAGCCCCCTGCTGAAAAAACCGAGAGTTCCATTTGCCTCTACTTCATTTCTTCCTCCTCTTCCCCTTCACCTTCCTCCTCATCTTCAACCATGATCAGTATCTTCATTTTTTTTTGTGGATGCCTATGGCCTGAGCTGTAGGGGCCCCTATAGTGGAAACGTCTCCCTTCTCTTCTTTGGATATATTCTGGGTAAGGCAGATTCCTTATCCCTTGTTCCTATTTTCTCTTGCAGTGTTCCCTCCAATCTTGGAACCCACTATGGTGTTGGCCCCATCTTTCCTTCGGTGCTTATGTAGCTAAAGATACCCTGACCACTTTTGGCCCCTTTAAACGTTTCGGTTCTGGAAATGACACCAATTCCTCCTTGATACCTTCCAGAAGATTGACTTTCTATTAGCCACTCCTCCCCATCCTTGGCTATCTCCATAGCCCTTAACAACTCCCTAGGATTATGGGGCCTGATTTGGCTCCTAATATCATTCTGCAAACCCGCAAAGAAGTACCCAGTAATTGTTCCTCTAGCAACTTAGTGGTTTGAGATACTAACATTTCAAATTCCTAGATGTATTCTTCCTCTGCCCCCCCCTTTGTCTTATAGCAGCCAGCTTTTCAAAAACAGATCATTTGTCTCTTCCTCCAAACCTCCTAATCAAGGCTTCTGTCAGTTCCTCCCAAGAAGGGTTCTTGGTCTTCTTTTTCCAAAATCTGAACCAATGATTGGCTCTCCCCTTAATGCTAATGAAGGCCAGTCTCATCTTCTCCCTGGCTGAAACATTTTGCACTTCAAAGAACTTTTCAGCTCTTGATATCCACCCCACCGGATCTACTCCCCTCAAAGGTAGGTAATTCTACTCTTTTCATCCAACCCTTTTGTATTTCCCCCTTTTCTTCCTCCATATCCTCTTCAGGTTCTTCCTTCCTTCCTATTCTTTCCCCATTAACTGACCCTTGACTGCCCTCAGAACTCCTATCCTGGTTCTTTGATTTCAGCATAAGAACTTTTATCATATTTTTAAGTTCTTTATCATTTTCCCTGGTATCTTCCTTGAGATTATCTATGGCTCTCCCTTGTTCGCTGACCGGCCTCTCCAATGTACTGATTCTCCCCTCCATGTTCCTCCTTTTTTTGTGATCCGGCAGGTTGGACCAATTGATAGGTTTCACAACACACTCATGTTAGCACACCAACACACAACACTCAATCTCACAAGGGAACAAACTGTATTATTATTCTTGTAACAAAGAATGATGTCTGTAAGCATCCAAGGGAGTATTTCTCCCCTCACACAGGATGTAATACTCCTGTCAAAACAAAGATACAAAACAGATGCGTCCTGTCTAAGACACTCCTCCCCCCTTATATAGCCAACCCCTTACATGAAACACATAACAACCAACTGCCTAACTGCCCTCCTCACCGTCCTAACAACTATGTCCTGTTTTTTATTTCCTTTATCCTTACATAAACTCTCAAGGTCCTATCAGAATGATTTCTTTTTTTTTATTTTTCCTTTCTCATACTGGTTAATCAATATGTAGAGGACATAGTACTGCTTCTTCTTTTTTTGTGTAGGTTAAAAAAATCATGTGAATATTATAGTTGTGTTCTGGTTAAACAGTAAATGATGCAAGAAATATAGATCTAATATTTTCCAATCCAATACATTTGTTTGTGACTAGAGAAGTTGAGTAAAGTTTTGGAGGAAGAGCGAGACTCTCAAGAGATGTCAGATCAATTGCCATTTCATTATGTGGAAATCTCAAGACTTCTTTTTGATCAGTAAGTTTAGGGACACTAATCTTGGTTCTGTTAGATGCTGTTATTTTACTATTCCAGCTTACCTTTTCTTCATTAAATTTTCAGGGCACGTGATAACATTCCCGATTTATATATGGTGAGATCCTTAATAGAAGATATAAGAAATGTAAGGTTTCATAAAGTTGAAACCAACTTGGAAGAATTTAATGGTCGTACAATTGCTGTTAAGGTAATATTTATAGCAGGATCATGCTTTTTTAGCAAGGATTTGATTATATGTACTGATGTATCAGTGATTTTCTATTAAATAGGATTTTTCTAACATACAATCATATATATGCTTCCTCTCATTTAAATTTAAACTTTCACAAGTCCTTGTTGGAAGGTAATACAACCATTCTCTATAAAAGTAGTTGACCCACAAGTTATAAGATCTTCTCATCTCATTTGTGCTTCCGCTGCCAATGTTGTTATAAATAGGGTCTCCATATAGCTAAATTTAAGGGAAAACAAGTGAAAGATTTGAATATAACAAATTCTTTAGCAATTGCGCAGTCCGACAATAAAATCTTCTGAATCCAGGATATGTTTTGTAGTTTGAATCTGAAGTCTACTTTTTTTATGCTTATGTCTTGCATCATGTCCTGACATTTGTAAATTTAAAAGTCGCCAAAGAAGACAATTTTACCTTTATACCACAGGACATAGCTCATATCGAATACTTGCATTCGACTATAGAAACTCAATTATACAATTATTGAGATTAGGAGTGAAGAAGGTTTGGGATGTTGGTTTTGTTACACTTCATTTTTAATAATTGCTTTGAGAATTGGATGCCTATGTCATTATTCCTCTCTTTGAAGCTTTTACTGTTTAGATAAGGTAAAGAAAATATAGTTGGAGAAAATAGGCCGTTAGTCTCATTACATGTCTATTTATGTCTTTGACGAGCACCTCATAATTCTGTGCATACTGCAGATAAAAAATTTGTCTGCAATGGAAGTGAATATTGTTCGTCCATTTATTGGAAGAGCTTTACAAGCATTTTATACGCATGATAGTCCAGAGTTGATACCAGACCCTGAGAGAGTTTCTGATAGAAGACCCCAAGTTGTCAACAATGCTCCCAGAGTACGTTTCCCTTGCATTCATTATATAGTTTTTGTTTATGCTTCAGATGATAAAGAAATTTATGTGAAGGTTTTTTTTTTATGAATTAAAAAATGAACATCACATGCATTATCTTCATTTAAAAGGAAATGGTTTTCATGCAATGAATATTTGTTTTTGCAGAGACCATTACGACGATAGTTATTATCTATCACATTGGCAAGCTTTAAAGGTGCATATGTCGTGAGATTTGCTTCTCAATTTGTTCGCATAATTATTTGTTAAGAATAGGAAAAAACACTTGGGAATTTACATGGTTATGCAAATGTATCTGAATGTAGTTAATTTTATTTGTAGAATTAAGTATTTAATGTTGTCTAGTTGACACTCCAAATTGTTTAGTTAACCTTGACAATAAACACCACATTTAAATTATGAAAACAATGTTATTATAAAATAACATCACCCCAAGATCAAAGCAATTTAAATATTTGTTCTCACTTTGCACTGAAATATTAATTTATGCATATAAAATTAATGATAGTGTATAGAAATATTTATATTTATTTATTATATTATAAATGATAAATAAATCTTTTATAAAATTTTTAAACAATTTTTATTTCAAAATATTTCTAATATGTTTATACTATAAGTTTTTAAAAGTAAAACGTTTCAAATTTGTATATTGAATCTAGATGAACGTTAGTTCCTTCATTTATCATGATTTTACTATTTTTTAAATTAAAATTTAACAAAATGACTCTTATAGATCGTAAGCATGTATAAAAATTATCTTTTTATTTAGAATATATATTTTATATTTTAGTTTTAATTATATTTGAATTTAAAAAATTAAAAATAATTATCAAAGTGTAATAGCCCAAAAAAATATAGATCTAATAATATTTTATAAGTTATTCCAAATACAAAACTAACCTAGCTCTAATCAAGAAACATGCATGATATATACTTTGATACAAAAGTTTATAAAAAATGAGTACATTTTGGCTCTAAAGTCTAAAACATGATAAAATTACATTATTACACACATTATATATATATATAGAGAGAGAATCGGAGTTAATTACATCCAACCTCCTACTAAAAGATTTAGCCATGATGATTTGAATTTAAACTCTAAGACTGTGTTCATTTGGAGTGATTGGAGGAGATGATTTGGAGAGAGTGATTGAGGAGATTTGAGAATAAATATTTGTGTTTATTTGAGTGGATTTGAGAGTGGATATAGAGATAATGTTTGTGAGAATTAGTGTAGAATTTGATTCATGTGACAGTTTTAAAAAATTTGTTTAATTAGTAAAAATTAAAGATTACCAAAATGTCACTAGTTGTTAAAGTAATATAAAATGATAACTGTTAATGTTATATTTAATTGTAAAAATGTTTATAAAGACTAAAAAATTAAAAATAATTATTAAAATTAATTTTTAAAAAGTAAAAAAATTATAATTTAGTAAAATGAATTTGTTTTATTATTATTTTTATTATTATTATCATTATTTATTATTATTATTATTGCTATTATTTTTTTTGTTATTATTATTATTCTTTGTTATTATTATTATTTGTTATTATTATTATTACTATTATTTTTTTATTAGTTATTATTATTATTATTTGTTATTATCATTATTTATTATTATTATTATTATCATCATTATTATTATTATAAGGATTATTATTATTATTATTATTATTATTATTATTATTATTATTATTATTATTATTATTATTATTATTATTATTATTATTATTATTAGTACTTAGCCAAACCCTGCAAATTAGGCTCTTGGATATTTCAAAAATTTGAAACCCAATCTCACTTTTCTCTACCATTTTTACACTGCAATACTCCACTTACAAAAACCTTCAGAATGGAACTCATCAATAATACTCCTCGCTGGAAATGAAGTCACTGCTGACAAACCTGACCAAACACGTGGACAAGTTTCGACCACAACTTTACCATGTTAATTGACCCCATTCTACATGGCTCAACACCAACAACAACCACTGGTTTCTCGATTCACCACCCCTTCAACCCATCACCACAACAGCAGCACCATCACAACCCTCAGTAGCCCTTTTACGACCCACGCTTCTTCCAAAGCGCGTCCTCCGCTTCCTTCTTGCCACCACCTTCGGTGCTCTCACTTAACCCATCATGCTGGAACCGAATACCATATTTTGGGAACCAAATACATAATGTTTGGAACCAAATAAAAGAACGTAGGAACCGAATACAGGTTCCATATAAATTCCTCATACGCCTAAAACCGAATACGGGTGGTCTGGGAACCGAATACGCCTCCAACAAATCATTGTTATTCATCTTCTTCAGCTTCAAAAGTCATCTTCATCTTTCAACCAGTTTGTTCTTCATTGTAAGTCTATAATGACCATATAAATCACTGCTCTTCTCATGTTTTTATTATTAATCAAAATCTTGGGCTGAGTTCTTTGTAATTAGAACATAATATATGTGATAATTGGAACTAGAATCATAAATTACGCAGAGGGTAAATGAGACTTTTCACAACCAATCCCTCCAAATCTCTTCACTTTCACAGGTGATAAAAAAATGATGCATCCCGCAAATTTTTTCAAACCGTTCCTTCCATTTCTTCTCAAGTGAACACAGAAATCACTTCATTTCTTTGCTCTCAATCACGTCTGAACAGTAAATTTTGTTTAAGTGAACACAACATAAGAGTTGCAAGCTCTTCCTATAGTTAACATAAGAATTACAAAGAAGAAAATGACTAATTCTAGTTATTTCTAAATTTATAAACCAAAGGTAGAGTATTGCTTTTATAGAAAATTTTGGTCAGTGTCCAACCCCATCTTTTACACTTAGTCATAGGGGTTTAATCATGTGTGGGTTTTCTTTGTTGGCTCAGACTCATGCTTTGATGATCTAGTTTTCCTTGTGCACAAGGATTTTTTCTTTGGGAACTGTGATTTGTTATGCTCAGCCAATGATGCAAGTTATGTCTTGACATTTTTTTCTGTGGCTCCACCAATTCTTGCATCTCAGTTGCCTTTTTGTCATTTTTTCTTTTTACTGCAAAATAGCAAGATAACATTAGATTTCATATAACTCAATTATTTGATACCTCATTCTACATTTTAAACTAAAAAGGATTGTGTTGTTATTAAATACAATCAAATTAAACTTCATAAGTGTCTATTTTTATGTGAATTTTAGGGTATATTAGACACTTATGGCCTATTCTCTCCACCATCTATAACACCATCTAGTCATGCTACAACAATGATCATTGTAAAAGAAAACAAACAGACAATAAAAAGAAGATAAGTTAATAATAACTTTGAGTAATCTTAACATAAACTAAACTGGCATACAAACATAAAATAAAATAGAAATCCAACAAACAAAATTTACCATTTCAGCTAACATAAAGTATTTAAACAACATCTATGCATAAGATAAATCAAAATTATCCAGATTTATGTATTGACTTGAACTCTAGAAATTTTGCATTTGTCACCAATATGAAATTCTCAAGTGTTACAAACCAATAGTGGTACGTGGTTTCCTTTCCTCATGACTAAGTTAGTCCTCTATAGTTTAACAGAAAAGGGGTCCTCTTATAGAAATCTCCTTCACTCTTTACCACCTAGATCCCATTCTCTATATGAGTTTTTGAATCTAATAAAGTTAAGGATAACTTCAAAATGAGTGTCCTGAGCATCCATAGTCAATGCATACCACTAAACTAACTTGTCACACCTTCCTTCTTAGGAAGAACATTGTCATACCAACAATCATAACATCCTAACCATACATTCATGTATTTTTCAAATTCACCTTTTTGTAATAACAATATCCTCATTCTCAATTTTCCTCTAAATTTCCTCAAAAAATAAGTTACCTAAACTATGACAAACTCGCTCAGCTAGATCATATACTCGTTCAATGAGCAATCCTTGAAGGTCTAATCACTACATGAATGGGTATCTCGTCTAGCAAATCTAACACTAGAACAAATTACATGATAATTTGCTCAGCTAGGTTAAACTCCCTCAACGAGTCTCTCTCCTTTAGCTCTTTGCCAAACTCGATTTTGGCTTTTGCTTCAATGAGACAGAGGGAGGCCTCCCTTGATTCTTTACCAAACTCAATTTTGACATTCGTCCAACGAGAGAAGGGCTCGCTCAACAAGTCTCCATAACACAAAAGCTCAAACCCTGAAATTTGCATGTTCCTAACATACCAAAATTCATCTCAATTCTTCTTACAAGTCTCAAACACACCAAGAATCACATTAAGAAAATTTATCTCAGTTAATCACATCAATTTCACAATTTCATTACTCAATCCATATACAATAATGCATACATACCAATCCTTTAATTTCATAGCAAACACAAAACTTACATTTGAATTCCACTATCTTATTTCCTTTACTTAGTTATCAATAAACAAACATATCAAATTGTCATAAAATTTCAATCTTAATCACACAACAATCAATTGAAATTAAACAAGTAATTAGTTAAAAATTAGATTCTTTCACATGAGACAAACCCTTTTTTTTCTCACATAGTAGCTCTCTAGAGCTCTATAACAATAAGATCACATAACCAACCAAATCAAAACCTCACATTCAAATCAAAACATGACATAATAATCATAGAATAGTAGAAATTCATTAAGAACAATATTGAATTGCATGTACTACCCTAAAACTAACTTAAAAATGAGTAAAACAAGAACTTACTCCATTTATCTCTTTGATCGGTTGATTTCGTAGAACTTCTTATCATGAACAATTTTACGTTTTTAGTTGATAATAATATAATATATTTTTGCCTGATTGTGCGCTCCTTTCTATTTATAATTCTACTCCAAATGATTCTATCATTTATATAACAAGTTAAATCAAATTAATACGTTAAAGTGACAGTATGAATTTAAGTTTTAATTTTTACTATTACAATATTTTAAACTTAATTTACTCCATTAAAATCTAAAATAGAAGAACACTTTAAGTTTGCAAAAATTAATATTTATTTAATTATTGGATATAAAGTTTAAGAAATATATTAAATTTGATAGTGTAATAAATGCAAGAGATAAATTTTTTGTTTTTAGTAAATGTACTGTTAAAAGAAGTTCAAACATTGATTAAATAAATATTATAATAACTATAAAATAAAAATTAATATTAAAATTTATATTTATATTAAAGTTATAAAAAATATAATTTTAAAAATTTATAAGATAAAATATTTTCCATTAATTTTTATAATGTTCAAATTACATAACGTTTGAAAATATATTTTATTCATTATAGGTAAATCTTTTACAAATAACAAAATCAAAAAATAAGCTCAGCTCATAAATTAAATAAAATGTTATACAAGGATAACTATAAAAGAAACAAGAGATTTTTAAAGAAAAAGTTTCATACTGATTAAAGAAAACCTAATTATGCGGTTGCTTCACCTTCATCTCGCGTTGGATCAATCGGACAGACATTAGCCTAAGCTTACATAAAATAGAAAATAAACAACCATACAAGAAGTGTAAGCTAATATTATAAAAGATCCATTCATGCAAATATAAAACATCATACATTATAATGCATTTCCAATTCAATTCAGTTCTCAACATACATATGATTTTCAGACTCGACCAATCCAGATACATGTATTGATGTCAGACTATGACAAGTTTCTGCATTTGTAGTGGTAGAATAGTTTGTCCACCCTAAGCTACCACACAAGGCTAGTCCGTTTACCACCTATGGACAAAGAACAACACACCATAGATTAGGACTTCCTTCTACTCTTCACCACATAATCACTTTCTCTATCTGAGATGAAGTCATTATTGGAACGTCAAGATAACTTCTAACAATATATTCCTACATTAATATATCACTCTACTTAGAACCACCATCAAGAATCTCCTCCTTGGAATTCTCTCCCAAACCATACTTGAAAACATACATAACTTCATGCATAAAACCTCATAAAAATCCCATTGATGTTACTAAACAAGCCTTACATTATCATTATAAGTAACAAAAAATAAGAAAACAAAAGAAAGTAAACCTGCGTACATGACGCCCAACAAAAAATTTAAGTTTTAAGTTTTTTTTTAAAGACAAGAACCCTCTAATTAGAATTTCACTAGTCAAAACACCCAAAATGAATAACAAGTCATCCAAACTCAACCTAACAATTACCAACCAGTTCTCCATCATATTTCACTTAACTAAAAGCTTAAACAAGTTTCAAATGACATAAAACAAATCCAAAAACACAGTTTTCCCCATTTGATCATTACCTCAATTTCTCACCTATCAAAACCTCTTATTTTAGACCAAAAACCAGCTTATAACTCAGCCTACTCTTTACTTTCCAATACTACATCAATTTTATACCATTTATATTTCATAACAACAACATTCACAAACTCATTCAAGTCCAAATCAAAATTATCAATATCATCTTGCATCAAATAACCAAACGCACTCATCAAAATACAATTAACACTAAACTAATAATTTCAATTATAACCAAATCAAAATAATATTACTCTTGACGACATAGCAAACATAAACTCAAGCATCATAACACAAAATTAAGGACAATATTAGCTTTTCTTACCGGTTAGACCAAATGACCCTAAAGAACCTCAAACAATTCTCATAGATCAAAGAAATATGTCGTTAGGACTATTGGTCGACAATGAACTAGATAAAGAGATCAAGTGACATATGCGAAGAATCCTTTATGATGCGTCTTAAACTAAAACTAAAGAAAAAAAATAGAAAGTGACTTATCTATAGAAAAGACTGATTAGTAGAAAATGGAAAATTCAATGTTGTGATCTCCTAATCGAATAAATGTCTGAGGAGAAATCTTAAAAAAGATAGAGAGAACTTAGAGAATAAATTTTAGAAAAATAACAAATGTTTCAAATAATGGATGTATTTATGAAATTTTATTATAATTTTTAAGCGCTTAAGTCCTAATACTTTATTTTCTAAATTTTTAAACTTGTAATAAAATTATATATTAAAAAATGTTAAGAACTTAATAATAGTAGGAAATAGTTATATATATATATATATATTAAATAGTTATATTAGTTTGTTCACATAAAATGTTGAGATCATATTAATAATTGTTTTTATTTGTATTCTTAATTTATTGAATTATCAAATGCATTATATACAATTAAAAAATATTTTCCATATAAGTAAAATATAGTGCTATTGATATATTATTTTATAATTTGAATTTCTCGCTGTTTGAAATTTAATAAATTTTACTTACACACTATCTTCTTCAAGCTATATTGTTTATAGAAATATATCAATGTGTATTTGTATATTTGTATGAAGAAAATAATATGGTTATTTATGTTTTTAATCTATCTGGATCAATGATAATTACTTTCGGACAGACAAACATGAGATAAAAAAATATTGGTTTATAAATTTTGAAAAACTGTTCATAATTTTGAAAACCTGTTCATAAATGAATTTGACTCTCTTTATCGTTTTCACGTTTGATCACAACTTTCAAAGTTGTCCTCATCATCGACTCAGAAAAGATAAGATTTGCAGTATTTCATCTGATTTTGACTGTACACTTTTGTTTTGTTCGAATTTTATGGTTACAAATTTACAATTACAACGCAGACTCAGCAAAAGATCGTTTACACGTATCATGCTTCCAAATTCATCGTCTGCAACATTAGTCTTGATATTCGAAAATATCACAGGCGAAATAAATGTTAAAGATGACTTTTTTGCTATTCCTTGTCTCTTAGTTATAAAATTTATAAAAAATAATTTTTAAAATCTTTCGTGATTCTTTTAAATTTTATAAGTTTCAATAAATTAATCAATAAAACAAACATATTAAAAAATTAAAAAATTGTGTATTCTTAAATACTTTTGAACAAGTTTAAGTCATGAAACATACCTAGGAAGAGATTCAAAGAATATACATGAAAATAAAAAAAATAAAAAAAAAAGTAAGTTGTCATACATTTATTCCAGTGTCATTGTGTACTTAGAAACAAGAGTGCACGGGTAGTATCTATGTTTCATGAAACTATGTTTGAAACACTTGAGACTTATTTTCACTTTTTTTTCTTTCTCATTTTCAATATCCCAAGTGTATTTTGTTGTCATGCACAACAATTATTCATTTACCATGTACCCTTCACAGCTTATACCATGCAGGTTTTTATATTTCAAAAATGTTCTTCTATGTTTTGAAATAAAACACACATATACTTAAACAAATATATCATATAAAATAATTTTTATATAACTTGTAAAGATTATTCTAAATTTTATTAAAATCATAATATTTTTATTAATAATAATCCTGTTAAAGTCAAATACTAATTTAATTTTCATTCATAATTACCATTTATGGTGTAATTATTTAATAAATAAGGTTATAAAACCAAATTAATCCCTGCCTGTACAAAATAATGATTATTGAAAAAGAAACATAAAACTTAACTTAGATTAGGATAAAGTTAAAATCTATGTTTTTATCCTTAATAACAGATAAAGCAAAAAAATGGAGATTATCGTAATTTCCTTATGTAGTCACAGTCGTGACCTACAAAACAGGGGTCGCTTAACCGCCAGTTTCGAAACAATCTATGGGGGTGTGATTGAAACTAAAGATCAAACCCTTCTTTTATTTTATTTTTTATTTTTTTTTCTTTTGGTTTAAAAACAAAACAGTAACACAATACCGTTTTATATGCCCCTAGTTTTGGAATCTTGATCTTCTCTCTCTTTATCATGTACTAAATATCTTAAATTTCATCCTCAGTTTCTCTTCCTCATGCACTTTTCACTGTTTATTTATTGCCAATATCAACCTATCAATCATCTTCTCCTTCAGGTCAAACCATACAACTGTTTCATTTCCTTTTCAACTTTCTCAATTCTTCAAAAACCATTCTTGAGAATCTGAAAGAGTTATAAGTAAGAGTTGGTTCTTTATATAATGGAAGGAAGTTTGGTGGATAACGGTGGAGAGAGAGTTGGACGTGGGAACAAGGTTGGTTATGTGAGAAAAGGCATTGGCAAAAAAAGGAAACAGCTTCTTCGCAGGATTAGGAGGTCCGACATGACTGTTTCAAACACACTTCAGCAGCTGTTTCATTCATGCACAGAAGCTTTCAAAGGTCCTGCCACTGTTCCTTCTCCACAAGATGTTCAGAGATTGAGTCAGATACTTGGTATGATGTTAATTATAATAATACTTGTTGGGTTTTGATCTATTCTTTTTTTCGCATGTTGTCATGTTCTGGAGTCTGTCTGAATTTTGCATGTTTAGTCTATCATAGTTATGAAAATCTATGGTAGAGGCTTTGATCTTTAGTTTCAATATTACACAAAATTACAAACAATTTTTGCTCAATTAACAGATTCGTTTTCTTAAGAATGCAGAACTGTGTTTTATTTTGTGTTATTCATGTCATTTATATAACATTTTGTTTCATTCCAACTCAGAAAACAATGATATAGCTAAAGATGAAGAAAACTATGACATGCATCAACATTTCTCATGTAGATTGTGATGTATATGTATTCTGGATTTGCAATTTATTGTCTTTTAGAATCTGGGCATTGGTTTTTGGTATCAATTCCTGAATGTATATTCATTTTGACATGTTCTGATTTTTTAATATGTTTCAGATAACATGAAACCAGAAGATGTTGGGCTAAATAAAGATCTGCAGTTCTTCAAGCCTGGAAATGCAGTGAGAGAGAATCAAAGGGTCACTTACACAACCGTGTACAAGTGTGACAAATTCTCAGTAAGTGTTTCATTCTCATTGCTCTCTGATCAACGACACTCACACAAAAGAAATTGCTTCTATAGCTAGCTTGTGTGCTTAAGTAATTATGGTAACACTTTGCATTTTTGTGCAGCTCTGCATCTTTTTCATACCTGAAGGAGGAATCATCCCTCTCCATAACCACCCAGACATGACTGTTTTCAGCAAGCTTCTGTTAGGACTAATGCACATCAAGTCCTACGATTGGATTGACCCAGAGCTCTCTAATGACAACCTCATGCAACAACCATCTCAATGTGAGTTATTTCTCTTAGTTATCATTGAATTCAAGGGTTAAGAAGAAATGTACTATAATTCTAATTTAATTTTATAAAATCAATGATAAAGTTTTTATCATTTATAAATTGATTTTATCTCGTGATACTTCCAACAAACTTTCTTTGAAAGCTTATGCACATAGATGAATTTTTTTTTTCAGTGAGAATGGCGAAGTTGAAAGCTGATAAGGTGTTCACATCATCTTGTGACACTTCTGTACTGTATCCAACCACAGGAGGTAACATCCATGAATTCAAAGCCATAACCCCTTGTGCTGTTCTTGATGTCATTGGTCCTCCTTATTCCAAAGAAGATGGCCGCGACTGTTCCTACTACAAAGATCATCCTTGTACTGTTTTCCCAAGTGAGTATCTCTTTCCAAACACATTTATATTGTTTCAAGGAATGACAAAACTACGTAGTTCTTTCATGTTATTTTCTCATTATAATTGGATTTCTTCTTGCATTGAAGATCAATACAAGTTAACTTGAAGAAACCCAGTTGTAATGAGATGTTACATCAGTGTGCTTTGAATACTTGTCCTCTTAAAAATGAGTAAATTTCATGAAATCTTGTTTTTTGAACATTGAAAGCAGGAGGAAATCTTGGTATGAGGTTTTGTCGATTTCATTACAGATTCTGAGCATGTTGAATGACACCTTATTTTCTTGTCTCTGACCATGAATGATTTTACTCTGCAGAAAAAAGGATTGGTGAGGGGAAAGAAGAAAAGGACAAGGATAGTTACGCATGGTTGGAAGAAATTGAAATGCCAGAGAACTCAGAAATGGATGGCATAGAGTACTTGGGTCCAACACCATTTTAGTTTGCTTTAGTTTTTTCAATATATGTAGTATTCTCAACCTTTTGGTAGTAGCATCTCACTGTGTACTACTAACGCTATATGTTTCCGTAGCAGAACAATGCAAAAATCTCATATCACTTTCCTCTTTTGTCAATATTCAAGGAATTACTTTTACTTTGAGATTGCATCTTAGTACGCTCAGTTTTTTCTATCTTTTTCTATCTATAATAACATCATAGGACCTATTGTCATATATATAGAAAACCATGGGCTTAGGCTGTTTACCTCTCAATAATGTTTCATTAATTTGGCTTAGTTGGTTTAGTTGTTGTACGGTGTCCACACAATTATAACTTTATTAACCAAGTGGTTGATTATAAAGGTTGACTGACTTTTTACGAGATTAGGTCAAATTTATGCTTTTCAGAACACATTTGTGGAAAGTTAAATAACAATTATAAATTTATAACAATAATAATTAACTAGTGGAAAGACATCAAATTTCTGAGCCTGCAATTTCTCATTTTTTTAATAAAATAAAGTTTCAGTCAGAAGACGTGTTTCAATGTTTTCTTCTCAAACCGACACTGGACTATTTGGACCTGTGTTTCCAAAATATCTAGGAGTTGTTTCAAGTAATTTTAAGGAGGAATACCTTTTTGTTTTTTTGATAAAAGTCTTATTTTAATAAATATTACTATATATCATAATTAAGTTAATTATTTAGACTTGTTTACAACTTTTTTATTGAAACAAATTTAAATGTGAGATGTTTGAAACTAATGGTTTTTGTTTTATTGGAGAGACACATAATATATATTTTTATTGTTACTGTTGTTGTTTCATTGCTTAAAGGATCTCTATTAGTAAAGTTTCATGTGTTTCTTAATCATAGGTGCACTTTTTAGGAATGTGTCATAATCGGAATGTATATTCTTTACTTATTTGTAATTTGTGAGCAATGTAAGTCTTGATTACAACTTATCATTGATATTTCTTTTGAAATTGAATGAGTAAATCTTTATTGTAAAGTGTAAGAAAAATGAGTCTACATTTTCTACGTACCATTGCTGAAATGTGTCAGCAATATGAATCCAAATTACCAAATCTAATATATGAGTTGTGGAATGTGTCAGTACTAGTTACCTCTTTTGTAATGTGTCAACAATACAGAGTATAGACTACCATATCATTAATATCTATTGCTTGTGAAATGTGTCAACAAGATATTCCATATTCTCTCTATTACTTATTTTGGTAATATGTCAGCAATTTGAGCTTATATATTCTTGTTTGGTTATTTTTGTCTTGTTTCTCTAATATGTCATTATAGTTCTCTTTATATATATATATATATAGATAATTTGAACAAAAATATATATTATAAACATATTTCTTGATGAGGATCACAAAATTCATTTTATTAATGATTTTTTTATTTTAAAAAATATATGCATTTTAATTAGACATGATTATATTATAATGATTTTAAAATTTAATTACAATAATATTGTAATTGGATATATATTTGTAATGTTTATCTATAATATTGAAATTATAATTCATATTATTTCTAGTAATTAAATAAAAAAAAGTTAACATTACTATTAAAATTATTTACAATAATTAAACTATTGACTTACTTTGTTATGAATTTACAAAAACTATTGACTTACTTTGTTTAAATTATTATATAATTTTTTTATTAATTTAAATTTCATTCTTCAAAACATTAACTGTTTTTTTCATAAATAGTTGTATAATAAATAATTAAGATATAATATCACATTAAAATGTAAACACAATTTAGAGATGTAAATAATTTTGATAAAATTATTATATCACATTAAACTTTCATATGTAACTATTATAAATAATATAAATTATAATTTTAATATTGTAAATAAGCACATCCAAATATATTTAATTATAATATTATTGTAATTAAATTTTAAAATAATTATAATGTTATGTCTAATTAAATGTATATGTTTTCTAAAAGAAAGTAAGATTTTTTATGGAGTATAGATCTTATTTAGAAAATGGTCATGAGCAGTAACTATTTTTAAGAATATTATGTTAATTAAGTTTCATCAATGCATAAAAATTTCAATTATAAATAGATTTTATGTTAATTGAGTTTCATTTATAAAAATAACCTTTTTGTACACTTTTTTCAAAATTTCCTTTGTTTTTGAACTCCTTTTTCATTTGTATGACGATACATTAATGAATTCACAACAAAGAGATCTATACTTTTGATCGATCAAAATTTAAAACAAAATAAGTTCACTTTTTTATATATATTTGAGTTAGTTTAATACTTTGATGCAAAGATCATGCACGTGACTCAAAATAATTTAAAGTTAATTTGTATTTAGTTGTGATCATTATGATATGGTTAGATCTATGATCTGATGTATGTGTAGGTAGTTAGAGCATTATGTGAGAACTAGAGCTCTAGAAGCAGCTTTGAGTGAGGAGTTTTCCATATTAGGTTATGGAAACTAGTTTAGATTTAAATATTATTACTATGTGATGAGATTGAATTATGTGATGGTGAAATACGATGCTTTATCATGTTCAAATCTAATTTAAATTGAGTTTCTATATATTTATTTTAGTATGTATTTTGAGTTGTTTTTACACTAATGCTAATTTTGATTGGTCGTGTAACCTGGTTAGTTTTGTCTTAGGCATTGATATATTTATAATTTGTGTGTTTTCATATAAAAAACGAGTGAAATATTTGGATAGATCTGTTGGGAGCATGATTGTCAGATCTGGCTTTGTAGAATTATACAAACTCTAAGCATATGTCTCATTGAGCAAGAATGCAAAATCTACATTCTAGAGAGCTTTAGTCTCTTTAACTCATTGGATAAGCTACAACTCATTAGACGAGCTCATTAGGAGTAGTGTCATGTCAGGCCGTGGGCTCGCTGGGTGAGTAAAGGAACGATTGAGCGAAAATAAAATGAGTGAAAACGTGAAAGCAAGGTGTGTGCTTGGTCATTGGGCAAGAAGAACTTTTGTTGGGCAATTTTTTTAAGGAATTTCGTTCTAGTGCTCCCTCGTTAGGCGAGGATGCACTTCACTGAGTGGGAATTTTATGTAAAAAAGAAGGGCTCTAATGATATATTTTTGCTAGGTGAATAATGTAGTCATTAAACGAGTCTCACTCTAGTATGGACTCGTGATAATGCTAATTCTTACCATTATCTAAGCATAATTTTAGTAGCAAAATCAACTCCTTTCTAACTTGTAACTTGCTTAATCCTCTTCTTTTGTCTCGTTTTCTAAATAAATGTGTTTTAGGCTAAATTGGTGTAACTTCATCAGTAATCCCATTATTTTGTAGCTAAAACTATGCTTGGAAGAATCTCCAACAATGTAGAGAACCGAATCAACCACAAAAGCAAGCAAATCTGCAGAAAAAACCAAAAAAAGAAGCAGTGCAGCAAAGTCAAACCCAGGCCCCCTTTTTCCATGGGCGCTTGAGCGCCAGTGCACCAGCTGCTGAGTTTGACTGACGCGCGCCCGAGCGCCCACTCTTTAGGGGCGCTTGAGCGCTATTTTTGCTGACATGGCAGATTTGCTCTATTTAACTCAAAAACGTGAAAAGTTTCGGGTCTTTGGTTCTTTGGATGTGCGATTCTTCTGCTGGAGCTCATGGAGGTTGTGAGGAGCTTGTGGGAACATATCCTCCTCTTCCTTTGGGTCTCCTTCTTCTTCCATCACCATGTTTGTAAGATTTAGGGTTCTCCATCGAAGTGGAGAACCAGATTCATCTTGTTAGGGATTGTTGTAGCCTATGAATTCTTGTGTAATGAATGATTGATTTGATTATATATATGTCTTTTCTATCAATTGCTAGTATTCTTGTTTCTAATCTTAAAGCTTGCATGCAATAGGAATGTTCATGACTTAAATTTGGGGTTTCGTGGATTATGGTGACGTAAGATAAAACCTTGAACTGAAACAAGAGTCCTTGTGGTCATTGATTCTATGGATAGAAGATGATTCACATGTTGTCTTAAGATCCTAGCTCTTTAATGCGGGTTTCCTTATTAGATTTTCCAAGGGATTGAAGTTTAATAGGGAAAACCTAGGCTCTTCCACCTAAGGGATTAGGGCTAGAGTATTCTTGTGGATTGACTTTAGTAAATTGATGGAGAGGAGATGAAATTGGGTAAGCACATGAGTGAAATAGGTGAAAACTAACATTAGCAATGTCATTTCATACCATTTTTAGTCTTGTCCATATCTAAGTGCCTTTAATGACCAAAATCCAACCATTGTATATTTGTGAATTTATCTTATTGCACATATATGTAAATGAACGTTGTTCTATTTAGTCTATATGAGTTGTTAATCACACAATTCTTTTAGTATTACGAGTCTCTTGAGAAAACAATACCTGGTCTTACCATGGTTTATTACTTGAAGCGATTCGATGCACTTGCCGAAATCATCCAACAACTCGTTAAGCGAGACATGCATTTTCTAAATGAAAATATGTATTATAACCTTGTAAAATCAGTCTTAAATTCATGTATTATATGGTGTTAATTGGTACAATTTATGTGGATTGGGAATGTAGTGATTATTAAGGTGAGAATACTATTACATGGTAGTGTGAGAAGTATATTGACGATAAATTCCATAATGATATTATTTGACTCTACTAGTATTAAAATCATGAAGAGGAACATACTTAGTTGTGAGAGTCGAGATAGATTCTTATTTGGAGATTCAGTAAGAGATTGGATCTCGTAGATATATAATTTACCTTATCATACTTTTTGGTCAAGATGTCGTCTGTCCATGTGATATGATTCCAAATACAAGAGAAGCAAATATTTAGAGATTTAATGTCAGCATCACCGTGATATAACTATAACTTCTAATTGGTAGGAGTGAATGAATGATGATAGGTGAGTCAGACTAGTTGTGTATAAATGAGTGAGGTGGACTAAGCCATGATAAGCTTTATACATTTTCTGTTTTTTATTATGATGTGTGAATTGAGAAAGAATGAGTTTTTTTATTATTAAATGATGTTTAACTTATAAGTAATACAATTTAAATTTATTCTAGCTTACCTTGTTATGTATTGTGCTGTGGTTCGTTCACCTACTATGATATTATATT